GGTTGGAAATCGGGATTTCTACTTCATTTGGGATAATAACCAAAACCCAAATATGTGTCCCATTTTCGCTTAGTGGTTCCAAAGGCTGAATCTGAGGTAATATAAATTTCAAGGTTGATTTGTAAATTTCGCGTCGTAATCAGTCATGCGATGACTTTCATTTGAATTTAAAAAGTACGATCCTGAAGAAGACGAGAAACGAGCTCAACAAGTTAAACAAGAACAATTAGCAAATGCAGAACTTCTTCACACAGCCCCCAGTGAGACTGAAGGTTTGATTCCTAAAATATTGGTTTTTCCTTTACCACGTTTTAAATACTTCATATTGATAACAATTCTATGACATTTTTCAAAAGAGGATGATCAAAAAAACCAATCTTTTATAAACAAACTCATCACGAAAATTGTTGATAACTTGCAGATATCTATTAATAACATTCACATTCGTTATGAAGATAAACTAAGTGATCCAGGGGTGTGTATTCTCTTTTCAGTGCCCATTCATACTTTCTGATTACGAATCATTAATTCAATTGATCCCTATGACAATTTAGCATCCGTTTGCAGTCGGACTTACTCTGTCAGAATTCTCTGCTATATCAACTAATTCAAATTGGGAGCCTACATTTATCGAAGAAGAAACCAGTTCAATCAATAAAGTAAGCATATTGGTGTTTTATTTACGTGATTGGTCGATTTAACAGACAAATTCGCATTATAACGGTCATTAAAATTCATAATTACTTCAGTTAATCAAATTAGGATCTTTGGCCGCATACTGGAATACTGATTCAAAATCCATTGCCGGGCATAACACAAAAGAATCTATTAAAGTATTTACTAGCCTGGTAAAAGTCTCTATAGATTATTATAATAAATATTTTATTTCAATTTCCGTAAATTATATTAATGCATAAATAATTTTTAACAACCAGATTGCATCCGAACAAAACATTCCATCAGAACATCAATATATACTGAAACCAGTTTCTGGAACTGGACGTGTATGTTTTGCTTCAACAAAACTTTAATTTCATGGTTGAAAATTCGCGTAATTTATTTATTTTATTTTTTATTTTTTTTTATTTTTATTTTTTTTAGATAACACTGAACAAGCATTTTGAATTAAATACTCCAAAAACGACGGCAATCCTTTTATTTGATGAACTTGGATTTATATTTGATGATGAACAATACAGGGATGCGTTGCTAATGACTGATTTGTTCCATTTTTATTTACGACAACAACAGGTATTGAAAATCGATTAATTGGTTTCAGGTTAGTCAAAGAAAAATCACATAATAAATATGTTCAAATTACATAGTACCGAAAATTCAGGCCTCCCAATTTGAATTAGTTGATATAGCAGAGAATTCTGACAGAGTAAG